AAAAAATGCATTTTAATTAAAAAAATATATATAATCAAAGAAATATAAATAAACTTAAAAAAGACTGGAATAATCATAATCCATACTTCAGCAAAAATTTAAGAATTATACTAGTGAAAAACCAAACTTAAGGGAATAGTCGGGAATACTCTGGTCAGAAGGTTAATTTGCAAGAAAAAGTCTGAAATTGCGATAGTTATAAACTAGACTTCAGCAAAAAACAGGAATTACATTGTTCAAAGTCCACATGAAGTCTGAAATTACTGTTCAGAGAAAACAAAAAATTGATTATAAACCAAACATGATTTTTCATGGCAATACTTATGTGTTCATTAAAAGAATGCGAAGAATATGAACAAGAAACCAATGGACCTGTCTTGTTATTGCACAGGACAGAAAATCACCAATCCGGAAACTTTGCCAATGCAGGATAAGCACAAAAGCAAAGTAACAGCTGCAGAAATGAGGTACCGGGTGGTACAAGATGCGTATAGATAATAAGACGCTCCCAAAAAGATGATAATAGACACCCAGAAAGAAGTAGCTGTCAGTATCAAGAACAAAACATACATAACGTTGGCAGAAGACTAGATACTGCTTCTAAAAATCTAAATACTGCTTTCTGAAGATTAGATACTGCCGACAAGTCTAAATACAGCATCTGGAACAATAAATACTTGTTTCTAAAGACTAAAATTGCTATATGAAGACTAAATACTACTTTCTGAAGACTAAATACTGCTGACAGGTCTAAGTAATGCAAAAGAAAGATAAGATATTGTTGGAGAAAACATACATAACGTCGGTAGAAGATTATATACTGCTTCTAGAAGACTAAATACTGCTTTCTGAAGACTAGATACTTCCGACAGGTCTAAATATAGCGTCTGGAACACTAAATACTGCCTTCTAAAGACTAAAATTGCTTTGTGGAGACTAAATACTGCTTTCTGAAGACTAGATACTGCCGACAGGTCTAAACAGAGAGTCTGGAAAACTAAATAATCCTTTTTAAAGACTAAAATTGCTTTGTGGAGACTAAATACTGATTTCTGAAGACTAGCTACTGCTGACAGGTCTAAATACTGCAAAAGAAAGATAAGATATTGTTGGAGAAAACATTAAAAAGGCCCCTTTTAGGCGGCGCCCGGGTGCAGTGCACCCCTTGCACCCCCCGGTAGCACCGCCTCTGCAGAGATATATTTATATATACTATATACTTGTTATATATTTATATACCCTACTCAAAAAAATTAGGGGAACACTTTTTTCGAAATCTGTATCTTTTTAAATAATAGTTCTAGGCAAACCAAATTTTGTTTACTTCAACGGCATATACACCGTGTTAATTAATTATCGTACCCGACGTCATCATTGCAAGTATGCAACCAATATCACAGCATTCGTATTGCAATACGCGATTTGCGTATTGGGTTGCATACTTGCAATGATGACGTCGGGTACGATAATTAATTAACACACTGTATTTAACCAAAGAAAATTACAAAAACAATGTTACAACTCTTAGTTACTTCTAAGTTACACTTAGAAATGTAAAGTAATAACGCAAAACAAAGTGGAAACAACTCTCATAGTATCGATGACAGTCGAATTTTCTGTGGATTGGTGAGGTTTAATACCGTGTATACTCACACATACGTGGCATGCTTTGCACTAGTCTGCGAAGAGATTCTTGGGGTATGCTTTCCCATTCCTCAGGGCTTGTGTCAGTTCCTATATGGTTAGTGGTGGATTAGGGCGCTTGCGAACGCGTCGGTCAAGCCTTTCCCACACGTCTTCAATAGGATTCAGGTCAGGACTTAACGCCGGCCATTCCATGACCTGAATTCCACGTTCTTGCAAAAAGTTACTAGTGATGCCGTCAGTACGTGGCTTTGCATTGTCCTGCATTAGGATGAAATCTTGACCGATCCCATATGAAACAGGCACCCAATGGTCCTCCAAGATGTTTTCGATGTAATTCATGGCATTTAATCTACCAGCAACAACAACAAGATCAGTTCTGCTGTCTATACTGATTCCAGCCCAAACCATAACAGACCCCGACCAAATCTATTCACTTCCTGTATAGTAGCGGCTGCGTAGCGTTCAGCAGGACGTCTATATACACGTACTCGACCGTCGTAACGAGTTAAACGACATCTGGACTCGTCTGTAAACAATACAGGCATCCAGTGACGAAGTTGCCAATCTCTGTGATCCAGAACAAACCTCATTCGCGCTGCTTTGTGATGCTGATTAATGCGTGGTTCGCGGACAGGTCTTCCAGGTTTCAAATTCGCTTATTTTAATCTGTTTCTAACAGTTTGATCAGAAATTTCTATTCCATGTGCTCGTCTTAGGTCGTTTAGGAGGTCTCGTGCTGTGGCAATACGCGTACGTAGATAGGAAAAGACAAGAAATGGGTCTTAATTTTGAGTAGTTTTTCAATTTGACCTTGTCCAGCTCTTCTAACATGTTGGCCAGTCTCCCGAAACCGATCCCATACACGCTGAATAACACAAGGGGAAACTCGAAGATCCCTGCTAACATGTCGAATAGAGTGGCCATGCTAAATAAGGGCGACAACACGAGCAACTTGCACTTCACTAAGATGCTTCATGACGCTTCTAATTCATGAAAATTGACAACTGAATTCATTTGTCATCTTTAGTAGACTTTCATTCGCGAATTCAAAGCATACTTGACATTTTTTCCACTTTGTTTTGCATTATTAATTTACATTTTTAAGTGTAACTTAGAAGTAACTATGAGTTGTGACATTATAAGTATGAAGGCTTTCACGGCCATACTTCGAACCAGTTTCTGAAGAAGGTTGCAACATGGTATCCGAAACGTCAAACCTTTTCTTAAAAGACGCACGACAAAACCCGAAAGTTTCTAGTGTTATTTCTAGTTTTAGTTCTAATTTTAGTTCAGTTGTGACATTGTTTTGTAATTTTCTTTAGTTAAATATATGCCGTTGATGCAAACCAAATTTGTTTTGCCTAGAACTATTATTTAAAAAGTTACAGATTTCGAAAAAAGTGTTCCCTTATTTTTTTTGAGCAGGGTATATAAATACATAATAATATAATAAATATACATACAGTATATATAAATGTATCTCTGTGTGGGTGGGACAGAGAGATAGATATTTAGTTTTTAATGCATAATGTATAATACAAGTAATGTATTTTTGTTTGCTGGTCGAATAGCTGGATTATTCATTTGTTGATTTATTATTTTTCTTGTTAGGTA